ATTAGTGCCAATTTGTTTCTTGTAACATGGACACCTGTCACCAAAGAGCTTGACAAAAATAACCAACTCAGTCACTGCAGATCCAAACTGGGCACAAATGAATCACCTGGAGGTAAATAAGAAGCCTTCAAATCCCAATGCAAATCCTCCAAGGGACCCCGTCCTTCTGCCCGTGGACAGATTCCTGGTGTATTTCTGATTGATGGCAAGACACCAACCGACAGTTGATTTTTTTTCTTTAAATGCAAGATATCAGCCTTTCCTTACAGTCAGCTGCAGGCCTCCCCCGGGCAGTTCAAGATTCATCGTGATACTGGATTATCTTTACATTTAATAGCAAACCACCTTCCACTGAGATGGAATGAAAGTTGCACAAGAATGAGAGCGGATTTCACCAAGAAGTCCTTTAAACTCTCGTCAGGTAACATGTCTAGTTCAAGCATTTAAAAAAATAACCTTTCAAAACTAAACCAGGTTTCTACTGTGCGGTGGAGCCAGCCACGAGGGTGGTACTGGTTACAACTGAATTAGCCCTGCTTGACGATTGCTTTCTAACTCTGTTCCACTTTATGCCAGCCGCCTGCTCCCTCAGCGTGCAGTCAAAGGGAGCAGGCACCTTCGAAGGAACTATCGGAACCAGGTTAAGAATGCATAATACACTGTACCATAGGCAAATGAGCAGGTATTTTCCCAGAGTCACCCACACCGGAAAATCAGCACTTCCTGCTCTTCAAGAGAGGGCCCATCCAGACCATTGCTCTATGGGAAGCAGAAATGTCTGGAATTAAAATGGGCCAAGGAAGGGGTTTCTTTGCCTCTCCACATGCTGTGAGCTAAATGGCAGGTTTCATCACTTCCTTTGTAAGGCACTTCTCATTATGAGAAAGCGAACACAAAGCCTAACTCCTAACTGGAGTATTAATAATGAAAAATGGATTATGTGCATCCTGTTTGCTAAGCAATTATCCCAAGGCAGGGATTGAGTCCAGATTTTTTGCCTCACTGCCCAAGTGGCAGGACATGAATAGATAGACAGGTATTTGCATGCAGGGCCTCTGACCTGGAGGAAATGTCAGGAGCTTGAGAGACTGCAGGGAGAGCTGCAGGTGCATATCCTTTTGAAATGTGGCTGGGTTTTGCAGTCTATTCTTGGAAAAGGCAAAGAAAGAGGGAAAGAATTTGGATTTGCTGTCTGTTTAAAGATATCCTCCTGAGTCAAGGGGAGACCATTTTACTTTACCCCCATTAAGTTTTTAATTCCCTGGAAGTGACTCAGGCCTCTACCTTCCCAAGGAGATGAAATTAGTTTTGTGTAGTTGATGGTGAGGTGCTTCTCCTGGATGTTTTATAAGACCTGTATCTGATGTGCTTCACCTCAGCACTTTTTAATGAGAGTAGGCATTTTTCTGATGTCTTAGACCTGTATTTTCTTTTCCTCCTCTTTCACTCACTGTGCTCCTACAAGGTGTGGCCTGACTTCCACCTTCTGATGCCCATGCATTCATTCAGGGCTGCACATCCAGCCTGAACCATGCTCTAAGTGTGTGCAGTGCTTTGGGATCCTTCAACGTAAACCACTGCCAACAGCTGTGTCACCTCCAATCTCCCCTCACCCATGCTCTTCCTCCTTCATGGAATACTTGCATGTTAACAGGCCAGAGTGAGAGATGGCAGTGCAAGTTCATATGGATAAGCCATTATTTTCACAGGACAGGGACATCTTAGACTAACAGAGTCAGCACATCCCTATGGCAGGGTCACTAAACCCCCCACAGCAGTTACATAACAAAATTGCCTGGGACATGGATAAGCATCTGTGATACATCCATACAGCAAATTACTACTTGGCAATATAAAAGAATGATCTACTGATACATATAACACCCCGTGAATGAATCTCTAATTCATTATTCTAAGTGAAGGAAGTCAGACCCAAAGGCTATATACTGTATGATTCCATACTGGAGGAGGTAAACCAGATCATTAGGGACCAAAACCAGATCATTAGCCTCCTGGGTAGGAGTAGAGGGAGAGGCTGACTGGAAAGGTTGGCCAACACTCCCAGTTTGCTTAGTATGGTCCCAGTCTTAGCCAGAGAGTCTCCGTCCCTGTAAAACCCCCAGTCCCGCATAAATTCGGACAGCTGGTCACCCTACAAGGGACATAAGGGAAAATTTTAGGGGGATGGAACTGTTTTTCAAAAACCCAATTTTACTCTATGTGAGTTATACCTTACAGAAGACTAGAAGAATTGCCTAGTCTGTCACCTGTCCCTCCATTAGTGAGCTCTCTGTGTGCAGGGCTTTTGTGTCTCTTGTGCCCTTGATCCCTCCCCTCCCAGCACCTAGCACTCAGCCTGACATGGCATAATTTGCTAAAATAATGTGTTGTGCTCTTTTTTCTCAGATGCTGTCATATCACCAGCAATAGATTCTTTAAATAATCCAGTAGTCTCCAAACATGGCATTTTCTCCATAGAACCATTCAGAATTCAGGTGTTTTTTTTCCTATTTCTATCTCTTTTAGGCTTAAAATTGATAGCAATGTGCTCAAACATTGAATTAATAGCCATGTTCTCAAAATGAGACAAATATACTATTATTAATCCATGCTTTCTAAATATACTAAGCTTAACAAATTCCTGGAGTGCTTGTTTAAAAATAAATAAATACAAGTTCAGTGAACCTTATCCAGCCCCAACAAATCTGAATTTCCAGGGAAGGGCCTGGGAATCTTGGATGATTCTTATGATCAAGCATGGAAAGCAGAAAGTCAGAAAAGCTGGCATTGGGAAACCTCAGCACCAGCCTTTGAGTATAATCATGTTGTGACTCCATGTTTCTGATGTGATCATTCACCAGAGTCTCTTGATGAATTATTCATTCACTCACTGATTCCATTTGAGAAATATTTATTGAATACCTACTCTGCACTAGGGCTACCACAATGAAAGCAAGACCAAGAGCCCTCGCCAGTGTGATTCAATTGTTTGGGCGTCATCCAATACACTGAAAGGTTGCAGAGGTTGCTGGTTCAATTCCAGGTCAGGGCTCAGGGCACTTGCCTGGTTTGCCAGCTTCATCTCCAATAGGGGGCGTGCAGGAGGTGGCCAATTGATGTTCTGCTCCAACATGGATGTTTCTCTCTCTCCCTCTCCATTCCTTTCTTTCTAAAAATCAATAAAAATACTTTAATTAAAAAAAAGACAGACAAAGTGAGTTCAACCACTGATGGGTGATATGAGGGAAATAGAGCGGTGCCTGGGGCAGGTACTGCTTAAACAGAACAGTCAGGAAGAACATGGTCTTTGTTGATTTCTGGCTCTCACCTCAGGCAGGTTTCTCAAGGGAAGCATAGCTGGAAAGCCACAAACTTATGTTCCTGTCCCAGCACTGCCATAAACAGCCACCGCAGACCATCCTCAGTGTCCTCATCTGTAAAATGAGGAGGTAAATCTAGATGTTGATCTCCAAGGACGACCCTGCCAGACCTCACAGCCTGTGTTTCTGGAGTTTATTGTTATAGTCAAACAAAACTAATCTGATACATATTTAATGATATACATAATTGTTATTGTGCTGCATGATAATTAGCAATCAATGGTAAGCAGTTTTACATAAATGACTATAATTAGTACTTCTTATACACAGACAACCCAACCACATTTTGGGTTTCTCTCTCTTCTTGCTTTGTTATTCTGTGATTAGCATCAGGGTCATCTGCTCTTCTACACTATGTATCAGTCCATGATAATCGATAGCCTTCGCTCCCACAAACCCACATAGGGATGTTGACAATTTTAAAATTTCAGGGTACAGTATATTATCTCCTCAGGTAACAAACCAATCTTGAAAGCTCTGTCTTACTACATTTCTTACCACCACCAAATGGCCTTTCAGATAATGCCTTCTCTTGGCTCATTCATCGGCTGTCTTGCATGCTGAAAGGACCAGAAAAAAACGGAAAACATTTAGACTGTTGAAATTCTCTGGAAGAGATGGGAAAGCCCACAAGGAAGACAGAGAGTACAAGAAGATGGACCCCATATCCTTTGCTTCTGAGACTCTGAAGCAGAGGGACAGTATATGACTTCGCTAGGGCTGCCACAGCAAACTTCCCAACTGGGTGGCTTAACAACAGAAATTCATCTTCTTACAGTTCTGAAGGCTCGAGTTCAAGATCAAGGGGTCATTAGGGTTGGTTTCTCCAGAGGCCTCTCTCCTTGGCTTACATATGGCCACCTTCTCTCTGTGTCCTCACATGGTCTTTCCTCTGTGTATGATGTTTCTGGTATCTCTCTTTCTGTATCCAAATTTCCTCCTCTTTTAAGGACACCAGTTAGTTGATTTAGGGCCTATTCCAGACTCAGTTTAACTGAATTAACTATTTAAAGACTTTATCTTCAATACTCTTACATTTTAAGGTATTTTGGGTTAGAACATCAGCATATGAAGTTTGAGGGGAGCAAAATTTAGCCATAACAGAGGGGGAACTGTGAAAAAGAGCTAACACTCCAAATACACAACAACCAGGAAGACAGTCTTCCCTCCAAATCTAACCCAGAACTTTCTTTCTGAGACTCTTCAACCACAAGGGTCATTCCCTCAGCTAATAACTAGCACGTAATGTCCCTAGAACAAAATCTCCCTTTTCACAGGCAAAAATGAAAGTCTTAAAAGATGTAAATACTTGGGAAAGCAGGCCCTCTGGGTGAGAAAGAATTCTTGGCAACTTGTCAAAGTCCTTCCCTGTTTTGGTAAGAAGAGGGCAGGAAGCTGAGGTTGAACTTGGCCTACTTTGCAGTTTGCTATGCCCTCTCTGTTGATTTTCTGCCCTGGCCAGTTCATCACGAAGCAGATATAGGATCGTGGTCAGTTGAGTGACCTGGGAAGCAGTGGGCCCAGAGTGCACACCGATTCATGCTTCCTTCTGCACTCTCCACACCTGCACCAAGGCCCCCTGCCTCCCCAGAGGCAAACTGTGATTCTAATGGTGAGATCTGAAAACAGACATGACAGGATGAGAGAAGCTTGCTAGCAAAGCATTAAAATAAAGCAGCGATGGAAAACAGTTTTCAAAGGACCAAGGGCTGCAACCTGTACTCAAACCAAATGGATTTCCCTTATTGTGCCTGGCCCTTTGCACAACATGATAGGCATGAGAGCACTTCACCATGAGTAAAACTAGAAAAAGATGCAAAGCAAATCCAGGGACTGAATTAGAAAAGTGTGACTGTGTAATGCTGGAAAGGATTTGGTGTTTTAATACTATAGGCTTTAATTTGGTGTTTTAATACTATAGGCTTTAATTTGGTGTTTTAATACTATAGACTTTTTTCACTCTTTTTGAAATCCCTGGTCTTAAAACAGGACACCTAGGTTTCAATCTTTCTGTTCTATTGTTATGAATGAACTACTCAAGCAGCCTCTCTGGGCTTGGTTTCTGCATCCTTGGCTTGAGGAATTAGAAAACACTCTCTCTGAGGAAGCACTTAGATATTCTTTTCTGCAAGTATATGTTGACAAAACAAGAACTGATTCAAATAATTAACAGAGCAAAACTTAGTTACTGGTGTACATTTCTGGTTAAATGTCAGCTAATTTGGAGCTACTAATGTCTCATATTCTGTTTCTGATTAAGCCCATGATTACTCATCTACAAAATGGGGATAAAATCTGTCTCACTGGGTTTTCTGAGGATTAAATTAAACAAAGGATGTAAATGAGACAATGGCTGCTACTCAGCAGACTCTGAGTAAGTGTTAGTTCTTTTCTTATTCACCTGGGTAACCCCCTTGGTGCCTGGTTTGATTGATGTGCAATAAATACTTGACAGATTGTGAAAGTTGCATGGAGGCACCACTCTAGTAAGAACCTAATGCAAATACAGACCAAAGGGATTAAAGTGTACCAAATAGGGTAGTGATGGAGGTGTCTACCCTCTCCCTCTCTATAGCATAATGTACAATACCTACATACATATACTTGGAATTCCATGGACTTACATTTCCAGCTGTCACGTGTCAATATATTTTTGGCATGACCTGGTAAGCCACAATGGGACAAGATGACCTGACCTGATGGGCAGCAGCAGCATAACCATTATTGAGTCCAGTACTTTACAAGTCATTTCATTTTAGCATCACAGCTCTTCAAAGTAGTATTGATATTCCCTCTTTTCTGATAAAGGAATTGTTGCTATAGAGGATAAGAATCTTGTGCATGTTCACAGAGCTACTGAATAGTAGATCCTGGTTTTGAATGCAAATTCCTTTTCTCCAAAGCCTCTGTGTCTTGTACCTCAGTGATGGATAATCCAGGAGTAGGCTGTTTTTAGAATTAGAGACTTGCATTAAGGATATTGGCCAAGTGGTACTGGATAATGCAGGCACTAATCTAGGTCAAAACAAAACTCCAGAGTTAGACAAAGTCCAGGCAAAAACAAGGAGGGTCCCTGACAAATTACTAAAGTTTGATCTCAAACCCCAAGAGCAAGGTAGAGTGCCAGAGTTCAGAACAGGGCATAGGAGGAATCTAGGGACAAGGTAGGAACTTCATAGTAATAATTAAGATAAAGGGTTTGAGGCAAATAAACAGCCATAATGACTCAATGCTCCAACATATTGGTCAGAAGCTCCTCATATTCTGACAATGATATCTCCTGGAATCTAACATGGAGCTGACATCTAAAAAGGGATGAGAGTGGTAGAAGGAGGCAAATGGGTCCCTAGTGGGAAGAGAGAAATGTTCCAGAGGAATCCATTTCTGGTTACCTGCAAGTTTTGGTAATTAGATCAGACATGTCTCCAAAAGGACTTGAGAGATGACCTTTGGTGCCATACATTGTCATCAGTTTTATCCACAAGAGTCAGAAAGTTTGTGCATGTGGCAGACAATCCCAAGAAATAAGGGTTGTGTCTCATTCTTTGTATTAAAGAGGTCTTCCTAAAGAGTCTCACAGAGCCCTCTGCTTCCTGCCATAACACAGTTTAAACTGAGCCTTTATAATGCCCATCTCAGCACAGTGTCCTTGCTACAAAAAATAAAAATTAAAAAGTAATGTAAATATTTACCAAAACCTCTCAAAGGCACCAAAGAAACATAAAACATTTTATGATGCAGAACGATCCTAAAGGTCTTCTTCACCTAACTTTCTCTCCAAGTTTCATTCATAACTATTGCTTCTTGCCCCCCTCCAAAATATTTCTTCTCCTTCCCTCCCCAACTGCTTAAATATCCCCGCCCATGACACAAGTTAGAAGAAGAAAAGCTATTAATAGTAAGCACTGTTTAATATTTTGTCCCCATTACAGATTTTCTGGGTAAATTGTAAACAGAGAGCAAACCAGAATTGGCTATTGTTCATTGGCTGGCTTTGGTCCTCATACCATTCCTCTTTCAAAGTGCCTCCTTCCCATGGCCATCAATTAGATACACTCATTCAATCAGCTGTACATCTAGTAAGCTCTTGGTCTTGCACTGTGCATAGTAAAGTGACAGATGTTTAAGACACAAGCCCTGCTCTTGAAGAACTTAGAATTGAATAGAGAAGATAGGGCATATGCCCAAATTACTACAATAAAATGTTTTGTGACTAGGTGTATAGATGTGGATTAAGATTCAAGATATTCTGATTAACCAACACAAATCGCACAGTATACTTACTGCTTATCCCTACCTCCATCCCCAAGACACAGGCAATCCTGTTGTTCCTTTTCTATTCGTATGTTCCAAGTTATTCCTCTGGTGAAATCACCTTGAAGGAAAATGAAATCAGATCAAAATAGATACAAGTTCAGACTTGGAGGAAATAATGTAATAAAAGAGAAATCTAAGAGTATTTGTAGAAAGGAAGAAACATTTGAGTTATAGCCTTGTGAAAATAATTAAGAACCCTCAAGAATTTTGTTATGAGTGGATCTCACTGATCTAGTCCCTGCAGTGACTACCACCAAGATAACTTCTATAAACCAGTCTGATTATGTCTCATTTTAAATGTCTCATCACTTTTGAGATTTCCCTTGTTTTCTGTTATGAGTCATAAGTTCACTTTTTAGTAGACTCCCACCTATCTCTCCAACCACATACCATACCACTCCTCGTTGCCTGCATATTCTCTGCTTTAATCCCACATCCCAAATTTATCCCATTTATGTCCTTGTCACACTGCAGTTGACTTTTCCCAAGTTATTCACCTATCAGACAATAAGTCCCATGCAGACCTGGGCTAGGTCTACCATGTTAACCATTGTATCCCTCATAGCCTATCGCAGTGCTGGGAAAATGGTAAATATTTCATGAGCATTACTTGAATGAATTACAAACATAAGGGAATCATTCCCTGTCTTGAGTTGAGTTCCCTGGAAACATACTCTCAGATGGAGATTTTCATGCAGAAGGTTCATTGGGCAGTAACTAAAATAAAATTCTACAGAGGGAGAAGTTGAGCTGTAATGTAGATCCCATAAGGAGCTCTAAAGCTGTTATAACCCTCCAGAGTTTTCTTACTAGTGACACAAGAGCCAGGTCTTTGTACCCCTACATCTACTAGCCATGAATGCTGGTTACCTACAAGAAGGAGGTGTCATTGTAGGGGGTACAGCTCCCTTTGAACAAGAACAATTCCTGAAAAAGGACTCAGCTGTGAGTCCTTAGCATCTAAACCTCCCAGCAGATGAAAGAAGGAGTTCCTTGGGTTAGGAGGGGAATTTGAACAATGTACTACAGTTTCTACTGCCTTTCCCTTTAACCTACAGTATAAGCCTGCATGCCTTAATTTGCTAAACTAGTAGAACTTTCCCTCTGCCCTGAAATTCACCCAATAAAAAACCTCCACTGTTCTACTACAGGTGCAGTTAGTACAAATACCGCCACCCTTACATTCACTTATTCATTCAGAGAGTATTAATAGAGCTCCTATTACGTGCCAGGCATTATTCTAAGTTTGGAGAATTCAGCAGTGCGTGAAATAGCCTAAAAGGTCCGCTTTCATTCTAGAAAAGAGACAAACAATTAGAAAAGTAAAAAATGGAGCAGAGGATAATAAGTGCTATGAAAAGAGTAAAGCAGAGATGAAAAATAGGGAGTGCCAGGATGTGGGGAGGTGGGTATTGTAATAATAAAGAGGGTAGTCAGAACAGGCCTCACTAAGAAGGCGACATTTGAGCAGAACCGTTTAGATGTTGGGGAAAAGAGCTTTCCAGGCTGAAAATAAAATAAGTTCAAAGGCCCTGGGGTAGAAGCAAGCCTAGATATTAGGTAATAACCAGAAAGCCAATGTGCCTGGAAAGGAGAGGGAGCGCCTGGTGGGAAATAAGGTCAGAAAGAAGTGGGGTGAGGAACAGATTATGGGTCATTATAATTACTTTGCCCTGTACTCTCCCCAAGCTGTGACGCCATGGTAAATTTGAGTAGAAGAGTAATAAAATCTGACATACATTCTAAAGGATCACTCTGATTGCTGTTGGAAATAGGTTATGGGGAAAGTGCAGGCACAGGAGGACAGTTAAGAGACTCTTAACATAAACAAGGCACCAAATGATGGGGACCTGCGCCAAGGCAATAATAGCAATAGAGGTGTGGAGAAGCATTAGATTCTGGAAATATTTTTATGTAGAGCTGATAGGACTTGCTGGTAGGTGGAGTGCATGTTATGAGAGGAAGAGAGGAGCCAAGGATTTCAGTATGAGCAACGAAAAGGATAGGGTTTTCATTTACCAAGATGAAAAGAATATTGAGGTGGGGGAAGATGATTGGGAGTTCAGTTTTGGCCATGTTAAATTTAGAGATGCTGATTGGACATCCAAATGGAGGTTCGATTCCTGGTCAGGGCACGTGCCCAGGTTACAGGTCACCATACCCAGCACAACCTAACAAACTTGGGCTTGAGAATTGAGAATGAGAAACATATGGTTTCTGATACTCACTACAATAATTGAATTACTGGTTCTAATTCTTCACTTCCCTTTATTAGGACCATATATCCAAAGCCTCATCATAGCCTTATGATGAGAGGTGTGTTCCTGTCTATTCTCTTGGGCTCGACTATGTGATTTGCTTTTTCCAATGAGATTTAGTGGTTGTGATGTAAGTGGAAGCTTAAAATGTGTTTGTGTGGCTGGGTTTGCTAGGTTATACTTCTGCCATTATCCTGGAACGAAATGCTTTGGGTAGCATGCACTTTCAGCCTGGGATTCAGACTGAAGTATGTGGGACAAAGTCACCCTAGCCACCTCGCAGACAAGGAAGAGTAGTGTCTGTTGTTGCATACCACTGTAATTTTATAGCTGCTGGTTATGCAGAAGTAGCTGACTGGTACAATACTAACTTATTAGCTGTGTAGCTTGGTAGACTCAGTTTCTTTATGTCCCCAAAGATGATAGACTAGCCCCCTCTCTCTGAGTTTTAATGAGGAGTAAATAAAATAATGTATGCAAAAATCCTGACATCGTGCTTAGAACAATATAGATACATGCATATTAAAAAGCAATCAATATCAGATTCCTCCCCTCCAGAGCTGAGGGTCAACAATGGCTTTCCATACTAGCATAGGTTCCAAGAGTAATAAGATTTTTGTCTATAAAGGGTCACCCTTGCCAAGAGAAGGGCTGTGTATCCAAGTATCTTTGGCAATTACCTTCATCATTTAGAATGTTAACATAAGGTATAGCACTGTAGTTTCTTAGGTTCCCTGATAAACAACTACAGCCAGAAAAACCAGCAAGTCTAGTTCCACTGTTTTTTCATGGGGCCCACTCTCTTTAGAAATATAAGCCTAATTCAGCAGTGCATTAGGATCCCCCATGTCCCTGGAGAAATAACTGGCTTTTTTATGACGAGCAGGATGGACACACTGGACACACTGCACCATACTCACCCCTTTATAAGCCCAGTCTTTTGTTCATGAAAAAATGAAAGAAAGTAGTGGCATAAAGCCACTCTCAGCAAAATAATTCATTACAAACAAAATCATCCAAATGCCAGTTCCTCTGCCCAGAATGCCCTTCAGCA